TGCAATGGCTGCGTCTTAACCCCTTGTGCCACCAGGGAGGCCAAATTTTGACCATGTTGATAGTTTTTCTTTGCTTTTTTTTTTTTTTTTTTTAGAGGCATGTTTATTTATTTATTTATTTGTTTGTTTGTTTGTTTATACATGCACTGGGTACGGTCAGAAGCGCTGGAGGGTGAGAGAATTCACCAGAGCCAGAGCGGGGAGCAGAGCAGGCAGAAGGACCGAAGTACACTGCTGAGGGGAGCAGTGGGCGGCAGGAGAGGTCTGCGCGCCATGTGGGACCCTCCTCCGGTGGCCGGGGAGCAGCCGGGGATCGAACCGGCGCTGCAGAGGCCGCGGGCAGCTTCGCAACCCAGCGCTCAACCGCTGCACCACCGGGGAGGCCCGTTTTTCTTTGCTTTTTAATTTAAATTTCTGTTCATTCCTTGCAGAAAAATTCATTCCTCCAGACATTACTGGTAGATGGTGAACAAGTCGGTACAGTCAAATCAAACCTTCTTTTGTTCACTTGCTCTTCCTTCTATCATTGAGGTTCTTTGATTTTGTTCATTTAAATATCACTGATTGAATAGTTTCTAGCTACAGCTTAAAAAATTATTTTTTAACATAGAGGTCAGTGTAACACTCCCACAAGAAAATAGGCTTTTGAGGAAATAAACAGCTGTCAACCTACTTTATTCATTCATTATTTGATTCTGTCACAAAAAATAGCCAACTCCCTGCTGGATGCTAGATACTCTGCTAGCTTTACAAATAGAGAAATAATTAAGAGCTGGTCGCTGGCCTCAAGGAGCAACCAGTCAAGCAAACAAAGAGTTACAGCAGTGTGTGACCCAGGTTAGAGTACCAGAACTCTGCTCTTTTACTTGTTAGGGCTCGAAGCTTAGATGAAGGGCTGTAGGGTTTAACCACAGATGCCTCTTCTCACGGCTGGATCTGTGATAGAAAGCCAAGATACATTCAAAAAGGAATGTGGAAATCCCCAGAAAGGAACGAGGAAATCCCCAGACTGCCGTTGGGGTCATGGGTACCCATCTGTTTTCTTTGTCTAATCTATTCTGACCTGTTGTGGTTTTTATAGATCCATATTGGCCTTTTATTAGGCTCCTCAGCCCTGTCCTACATATTTATAATGGAAAACCACACATCACTATGGATCTTTAACTTTTCTTCAAAACACCAATTTTTGTTACTTTCAGAGAAACTTTTTCACACCAAAGAATTGAGAGGTATCAACTTCAGAACTGATAGCAGAATGGAAAGCATCTGAGGAATGGTTATAAATTTATTATACTTTGGTCAAGTTAAAAGTTCAGTGTTTCAAAAATTTTGGGGTGGAAAGGAGTGGTTCATTTTTTTCAACTAATCTTACCTCTTAATGACTGAGGTACCAGGAAGGTATAGAAGCAAATGAGTAAACTTGCAGTCAAATCAGAGAATGATATAAGAGAGACTTTCAAGCTTGATTAATCTAACAATGGAAGTAAGATTCAGAGAAGCCAGTTGACTTGTCAACTGGTCAGTGGAAATATTTACAAACAACCTCATGTGAAACATCCCCATTAGTTATATTGTTGAAACAAAAAACGTTCCAAATGGTATGGAACATTTTTACTGCAGGAAGAAATGATTTATGAAATATTGGATTGTGTTTCAGAACTTGAAGTCCCACCACACTTTGCCTCCAGGCAAAAGAAGACCCTCAACTAGAAAGAGATGACACATAAGCACAGGCCATATGTTAGGGCCCTTCCCTCGGTGGAAGGCACGGCTTCCTATTGTGTCTTCACTGCTTATTAGACCAGTGCTGTCACCAGCCCAGTGTGAAGGAGGCTGGAAAGAGCTGGCCCCAACGGTTTCCTCTCTATATAGTTTCCTCTGCATATAGTATGACACCAATGGAAGAACTGTTTGTTCTAGGGCACTAGTCATTGTTGGGGTCAGCATCAGAAGATCAAAGTCCAGCATTGATCAGTCCAGCCTCCTTTGTTTCTTTCTTTCTTTTTTTTTTTAAAGATTTATTTATTTATTTATACAAGCACTGGGTACAGTCAGAGGTGCAAGAGGGTGAGAGAATTCATCAGAGCCAGAGCAGAGAGTAGAACAGGCAGAGTGATGAAGTACACTGCTGAGGGGAGCAGTGGGCAGCAGGAGAGGTCTGCGCGCCATGTGGGACCCTCGTCCGGCGGCCAGGGATCGAACCGGCGCTGCAGAGGCCGCGGGCAGCTTCGCAACCCAGCACTCAACCGCTGATCCACCGGGGAGGCCCAACCTTTGTTTCTTATGGGTCACTAAACTCTAGATACAAGTCAGTGACCTGGAGAGCCTGCATTAAGGGGGAGGTGACCAGATTGTATTCTGGGAGAGTGCAAGTAGAAGGTGATGTCAATGTCAGGGGAGGACCAAACTATTAACTTGCATGTGAGTTCAGTGGCAGGCAAGAAATTGGAAGAAGGGAGCGATGCTTCAAAAGGGGTGGGAATGGCATGGCCTGGAAGATTGTGTAGAAGGGACTATATGAGAAGCTAGGTAGGAGGATGAAGTGGTATAAAAGTTGCTGTCCATGGTGCCACCCAGGAACTTCCATTCTGCATTGCAGAGATTGCAGGACTAGGGTTATTAACAGCCTAACAAACTGGGAGATACTGAATCTGATGGGGGTGTAGGTTAGGGATTGAAGCAATGCAAATAACATTATGCACAAGGGATAGTGAGTATTGGGAACCATGGGGTACATGCTTTATTCTTTTAAAAATTGTGGTGAAATACACAGAATATAAAATTTGCCATTTTAACTGTATTAAAGTGCACAGTTCAGTGGCAGCAAGTTCATTCACAATGTCACATGACCATCACAACTGTATTGTTTCAGAACTTTTTCATTACCCTTTCTGTGATCAGTCCACATCTCCCCCTCCCCTCAGCCTCTGGCAACCATTTGTCTACTTTCTGTCTCTCCGGATTGTATTTTATGTCAGACAGATCTGGCCTTGCCAATTACATAGTATACTTTTACTCAACGAATTTGCTTCTCTGAACCTCCATTCTCTGTAGTTTTAGCTTGGGGAAAAATGCTTAACCTGCAGGATTCTTATGAGAATTGATGATATGTTAAATGTTTAGCTGACTTTCCAGTTTATTCTTGAGTAGACATGCAGTGAATGGTAGTCATTGTTTACTTTGTAACAATCAGAACAGTGGGGATCCTTTAAATTGTTTATGAACAGGCAGACTGACTGAAATACACTGCTGAAGGGAGCAGCGGGAGAGTCAGGAGAGGTCTGCTGTGCCATGTGGGTTTCTCCCTGGCTGGCTGGGGATCAAACTCGTGCTGCAGAGGCTGCGGTTGCTTCATAGAGCAGTGCTTTAACCCCTTGCACCACCAGGAAGGCCCCTGAATGTTTTTTTTTTTAAGATTTATTTATTTATGCATACAAGAGCTGGGATACAGGCCAGAGGTGTGGGGGGTGAGAGGGTTCACCAGAGACAGAGTGGGGAACAGAACAGGTGGGTTGACCAAAGTACACTGCTGAGGGGAGCAGCGGGTGAGTCAGGAGAGGTCAGCTGTGCCATGTGGGTTGCTCTCTGGCCAACCGGGGGATCAAACTCATGCTGCAGAGGCTGTGGACAGCTTCATAGGTTGTGTCTTAACCCCTTGCGCCACTAGGGAGACCCCTGAATGATTTTTTTCTAAATATAAGATTAGTATCTGTTCCCTCTAAGAAAATAAAGAAAAATGTAAGTAGAGGTTTTGGAAATTGGAGGATTTTTGTCAACAACAACAAACCGCTGAGAAATGTGCTTGATGGAGTTCATGTTAGTTGAGGTGCTTGATCCAATCAAGTTGGTAAAGAATGGAGAGTTAACTCTGTGGTTTTATTTTGTCTGTTTAGTTTGGTCAGGTATGGTACAAAACGATGCTGGTGAGGAAGAATGGCTCCACAGGGATTACCTTCTGGAACACAGGATCTTGAGCCAAACAATAGGCCCTTACAATATCTGGGGAATCTCTGTTTTTAACCTCCTGTAATTGGTGATATCATAATTAGACCTGTATATAACTTCTGAACACTGCCATACAATGCATTTCATTTAGCTGGGTTTATAGAGATTAGATCATGTACAGGAAGCTGGCTTCTTGGTTATCTGGCTCCACAGAGGAGTCAAGAGGCTTAGGGAGTGTGAAAAACTAGGACTGATTTAAAGGTACAGGGTTCTCTAGAAAAGCACAGAGATTTTCCCAGCCTGTGTCTCCATGACCTTTAGTTTCCCCATAAACAGCAGATTCCTACCTCCCTACTCCGTGTACATGAGGGTCTCTTCAAGCTTCCCTTTCCTTTCCCTTTAAAATAGGGCTGCTGGGCCTCCCCGGTGGCGCAGTGTGTTGAGTCCAGCGCTGTGAAGCTGTCTGCAGACTCCGTGGCGCCGGTTCGATTCCCGGCTGGCCAGGGAGATTCCCAAATGGCAAGACAGACCTCTCCTGTCTTGCCCGCTGCTCCCTTCAGCAGTGTACTTCAGTCCTTCTGCCCGTTCTGCTCCCTGCTCTTTCTCTGGTGAATTCTCTCACCCTCCCGCGCCTCTGGCCTGTATCCCAGTGCTTGTATAAATAAATAAATCTTTAAAAGGTAAAATAGGGCTGCTAATACCAAATTTTTGAGATTGTGTAATTTTTAATATCGTTTTATTTATGCATACAAGAACTGGGGTACAGGCCAGAGGTGGGGGGGCTGAGAGGATTCACCAGAGACAGAGTGGGGAGCAGAACAGATGGATCCACTGAAATACACTGCTGAGCGAAGCAGGCAAGACAGGAGAGGTCTGCTGCGCCATGTGGGTCACCTCCCTGACTGGGGATTGAACTCATGCTGCAGTAGTTGCGGATAGCTTCATAGTGCTGACGCTTAATCCCTTGCACCACCAGGGAGGCCCCAATTGTATGGTGTTTGATTCCTACTGTCTGGCCTTGCAGTCAGGTACCTCTCACCATTCCTCTTCCCTAGGTGTACGTGGTCGGGAATGAACCTTTAACAGTGCTGGTGGATTCCCTGCTTCCAGTGCTGGGCGTGCTCTTCTCTCTCTACTGTTATACCCAGCAGAGCGTGTCTCACATAAGGTAAACAATCTAGAGCACCCTATTTCCTTATAAATATGGTGTTCTTGTTCTTGTTTTGAATAAACTTGCACACTTTGTAATGGTTTTCTTCTTTCAAAGTCAGGAATACATTTGAGGATCCTCTTATTCTGCTCATCTGGAAAAGAAAGAGTTTTGCATGTGGCATGGGACTGGATATAGTTTCTAGAATGACTTCCCTTCTTCTCTGTTCTAGACACCAGAGATAAAATCTCTATTTATATATATAAACATGCCACTGTTTGATCGGTGAGAAATACTGGAATTACTTGTCTAAGAAAGGAGGAAATAGGGGCTGGATCATAACTGCCTTGTGGGGAGTCAGGTGGAGCTGGGGAAATCTGGATCTGAATGTGGCAGTCTGTAATGTGGGCTCAGATTTGTGTTAGTGCTGCTCAGTATTGTTTCAAATGGTGGAATTTCTTCGTCATCCAGAAAATAATCTTTTGTTAAATAGGACTCATTTTCTCTCAGCTCTATTTTCACAGCTGTTTATGTTGTTCCTTTTTCTTTTTAAGAGCTTATGTTCTCTTATAAAATCCAACAGAATTCTGATTTCTGGTATTTGTAAATCCTTCTCTCTTTCTCTCCCTGGACATAATCCGATATTCAATAAAGTGCTTTCATAGGGTTACCATGAAGACCAACTGTGCATTAAAGTTGTTAGCTCTGCCCCTGGCAAGGAGTAAACTTAGTAAGTGGTAGCTTAGTGGTTGGTGATTATCATCCTTGCTAAGTGAAGGGAAGGACTCACTTTTGCACATCATTCAAAGTTTACACTTTACTCTTAACTTTTGGTCAATGCATCCTTGTACCTGCAGCCCCAAGGACAGTGGCCAAGAGAGAAAGCAGTGGAAGATGGTGGTTATAAGTGTGTGAATTTGGCTTCAAAGGACAAAATGTACTAAGTTGAGTTTTGAAACCCGAGCCCTCACAGCAATATCATATCCTCATCAGAGACTTAGAAGGAAGAAAAGGACAGTTACTTGGTGGGCACAGATGATGGGGATGAGGAATCAGCATTAAGTTGTTGGTAGATTGTTTCTTGGTCACCAGCTCTTGGTCCCATTGATGCTTGATGGTACTGTCAGTGTGGGCTTTTTGTCATAGTGCCTAATTCTAAGGCAGTGGGTACACTTGGAATTACAAAAAAAAAAAATTACTTGGAGCGTATGTGTCATATAAGGGTTGCTACTAAAGCCAAGGATTAGTCAGTCACTCATCGAATTTCAGGATATTTGCATTCTGAAATTCACAAGAAGTCTACTTTCCATTCCTGCCCTTCAGTGGTACTAGGTGATTATGCCAGCATTTAGAATGCAGGGAACCTGACAGTCTTTCTTTTTCTAATGTTAGTTTGTTAGCTGTGTAAAGTAAGATGACAAGCTCATTTATAACTGTTTTTTCTGCCAGGTCACTTTGCCAAGAGATCTTATTATGGATTCTGGGGAAGCTGGAGAGGAAGAAGGCAATTGCTAGCCTGAAAGGATTTGTAGGGTTGGACAAATCTGTGCCCTCTCTCCATTCTCTGTGTCAGTTGAGAGCTGCCGCCCAAGGTGGCATTGTGGTTATCGTCAAAGAGGCCATTTGGTAAGTCCATCCGTGCTTTACCATCTTTTAGATTTCATTGTACCCAAAAGGCCATTTTGTGACTCGTCCACTAAGAGGCGCTGGTAGAAAGGCAACCAGAAACTCAGGCAGCTCAGGTGCTGCTATTTATACTCTCTAAATGAAAGAGGAGCCTTAAATAATCCTCCAGGCTTTTCCCCAGATCTTAGCGAATAGTAGGTGCAATTTACTGCAGCCTCACAACAAGCCCTCTTACTTTGAAGTCTTTGCAGTGATTCAGAGTAGAGGGCAGCCACATGTTCACCCTCAACACCTCACAATCCAGTTCTCTTTCTGACTCAAGATAGTATGTGTGTGTTCAGAGTTATGCTTATTTGTAAGGGAAATTGTCTGAAAGCGATTGATCTTCTATGGTAATTTTTAATGGGGGTTTGTTTGTTTCTCAATAGGTATTGATTTAGTAAATGTTAGTGGAATGGATAATTTATTTCTCCTGTATCTCATGAATGTATTTTAAATTATTCTTGCTTTCTGAGTAATATATGTAGGATGCTATTGCCTCAGAACCTAAGTTCCTATTGATCAGATCTATATAGTATTTAACTGGTGAAGCTAATCGATTTAAATGTCACTTCGCATTCTAAACACTGCTGTTTGTTGAAGTGTTTAATTTTATTATTTGTGGTTAACTTGATAAAATTTTAAAATACCCTTTTTAAAATGATGGTCTTGGTAAAATGGGGGAAAATTTTTTGATTGCAAACAGAATTATCACTACAAACTCATGCTATTAATTTAGTAAAAGTTGTTGAGCATTGGGTGGTTTTGTGGTTATAACCATGCCCTTGAATTAAAAGAGTTTAAAATCCTTTGACCTGTTTATTTAAAACACACACCCACACCCACACACACATGCATACAAACGCACACTCTTCTTTGGAAAAGTTTACTGTGGGACCGATTTAGTGATTGCAGAGAGAATTTTTTAATATTTAACTTATCAGTAATTAAAACGTATTGCTATCTTAACAATAGTATACTACAGTTTTTTTATATATCTATAAAATCTACAGTTTTTTTTAAAGTTTTTTTTTTAATTTATTCATGCATACAACAACTGGGGTATTAGACCAGAGATGTTGGGGGTGAGAGGATTCAGCAGAGACAGAGTGGGGAACAGAACAGGCAGATCCATTGAAATACACTGTTGACAGGAGCAGCGGGCAAGACAGGAGAGGTCTGCTGCGCCTTGTGGTTTAGCTCCCTGGCCAGTGATTGGGATCGAATCATGCCGCAGTGGTTGGCTATAGCTTGATAGTGCTGAGACTTTAACCCCTACACCACCAGGGAGTTCTTTTTGAAAATATAGTCTCTAAAGAATAGGCAGTGATTTAAGTGATTCTCCATCCACTGCCGGAAGACTAATGGATCCTTGGCCTGGGGTCTCTACATGAACTTCTAAGGGTCTATGATTCCTTTCAAATTATATAGAGGAATTCTTTCTATATGAGAACATGGAGTTTTTTCTTTCCTAAAAATATTGTTTGTAGCTTTCATTAGATACTAAAACAGTCCATGTCTCCAAACGTTGACACCCCACTCTAGTCGAAGAAGTGTGTGTGTGTGATTTTATCATTCTTTCTAATTATCCTGCTCATGGTGCTCGTCCCCCAAGTATACAGTCACACACCTTTGTTGGTCTCGCCATATCCCATGCCATTATGTCCAGCACCAGATAGCAATAAGAAGTTTGATTAAAGATACTCTTAAAGGGCCTCCCCTGGTGGCACAGTGGTTGAGCGCTGGGTTGTGAAGCTGTTCGCAGCCTCTGCAGCACTGGTCCGATCCCCTCCCCGGCCACAGGGCAATGGTCCCACATGGTGCGCAGACTTCTCCTCCCGCGCCCGCTGTTCCCCTCAGCAGTGTATTTCGTCGGTCTGTCTGTTCTGTTCCCTGCTCTAGCTCTGGTGAATTCTCTCACCCTCCCGCACTTCTGACTGTACCCAGTGCTTGTATAATTAAATAAATAAATGAAACTTTAAAAAAAAAAGAGTAATTTTAAAAAAAAATTTAAAAAATAAAGATACTCTTAAAAAGTAGCTTAAATCTCATGCTCTTTGGATCTGGAAGTTTTCATTCTCTGGAACTAAATATAACCAATTGACGCTTTATCATTAAAATTTTAAGAATGAATAAAATAGTGCTTCTTAAAGTCATTTTTTTAAAAGTATTTGAGTACAGTACTTCATTCTCACAGTCAGGATGAGTCACAGAAACTTAGAATAAATGTTTATTCATTTGAGCTATTTTTCTAAATGAAATGTGGTGAGATAATATGACTGAAGGATTCTGAGATAATACACAAGTAGTCCTAAACTGAGTTCATAGGCTCTTCATTCTACTAAATGACAATAAAGGCCATGTCATGCAACTTGGGACATACTAACAAGTATTGATTAATTTCAGTAATAATTAACTTCAATAATTGTTATAAACATAACTTTGAAAACAAAAAGCAACCACTGCTTATAATATAAGCACTCACTCTTTATATTATTTTAGTGTTTTTTTTTTTCTAGCACATCTTCTGTGCCTTTGTATTTGTTTCTATGACACAGCATAATAATCCTATATCTTGGCTTTTATATGATATAGTGTAATAACATGGTATCTTTCACTTGTCAGATGAATTAAAGTAAAAAGCCTTAGTACCCCATGTGAAGTTTCTTGAAACTGCAGAAATCATAGCACAGTTTTCCTAACTTAAGTCACATATTACTTGGAAATCACATTTGGCCTACTCAGTTCTCTGAACCTTTGTATATTTTTTTGTCTCGGCTAATTGGCTCTTATGAGTTGAGATTGACTGTGCCTTTTTCTATGATAGTCGGGTCTTCTTCCATTGCCCAGTCCCCTTCACTGGTATCAGAAAAAAGTTCAAGTCCTTTGAATGGCATCCAAGGTCCTCTAAGATCTGACCTTGCTTTGCATCTTCTCATCCTCTGTTCCTCCTCAGGAATCAGAAGATCCTCATACAACCTATGTTTTATTTCCTTCTTGGGTTTGCAACTTATTGAAATAATAGTAATTCCTCAAAATCCATCTTAAAAGCTACTTCCTTCATGAATCTTGTCCCCATCTTAACATATGATCCTGCAAGTTGTGATAATCTAGCCTCTGAGAATACTCTTTTTTAGCTTGAAGAGATAGGAAAATAATTTAAACATTTAAACAATTCTTTGTAATGATTTAATTCAGAAATAACATGTTACTTTAGAATAAAGATTATTATGGTATTTGAAAAAAAAAATTACTCTCTCTGGTGACATTGCCAAGATAATTTTACCCTGCATTGCAGTGATGAAGATGAAGATGAAGCCCTGTACCAAAAGGTATCCTCAGAGCAGTGCCACATGGAACATCTTGGGGACTTGCTGTCCCACTGCCAGGAATGTGGTTTGGCAGGTGACTTCTTCATCTTCTGCTTGAAGGTAAGGATTGTAGACAGTTCGTGGTCAGCTTTGTTCCAGAACAGTACCAGGGCCCCTTTGAATTTTCAAGGCAGTCATTATTTTATGTCCTAAAGTTTAGCTTCTAATTTAGGAGAAATGATCAGAAGACAGAAGGATAATTATTTGTTTTAGTAGCCCTTGGCTACTAATTATTTGTTTTAGTAGCCCTTGGCTTAGTGTACTTGCCTTCAACAGTACACGTGATCAGACCACTTTCCTCAGTAAACTGCCCTGAAATTTTAGAGAAGACCAAAGTCGAACTCTGATCTATGAAAGAGTTAATCTTTGCTCTGTGTTGACAGTAAGAACTCTTTTGAAGTTAATAGCAGGTTTTACAGCTATATAGTAATCCCTTATCCTTTCTGACTGTTGTTTTGTCAGGCATTTGGAAAGGAGATTTAGCAGTTCAGCCTTTCACATTTCATTTTGTAACCACTTGAAACCTTTTCCCGGTTGGTTTCTTAGTGCTGTTGATTGTGCTTCCTTTCGCCCTAATTGCCCCACAGTAACTTGGACCTCATACTATTCCTCTTTGTTTGCACTCTTTAAGACCAGAAGCCAAGTCACCTCTGATTCTCTGCCCTCCAGCTCTCTCTTCTCCACTATTTCCCCCTGAATAAAGTGTCTACTCTAAGAGAATGTCTGTGGAGTTTAAGGTTGGCATGGGTGTGAGAGAGTGCAGGGAGGGAATCAAGGGCAGTGCATCAGAACGTGAAGACAGACACTTTTTAAAATTCTCAGTTATTTTTATTGATGTAACATTGATTTTTGACACTGGATGTGGTGTGAAGGGTATAGGTTCACACCTCTTCAAATGTCTGTTACCACACCACATCCACCCCCAAAGCCCATAGTCTGTAGTCTTCCTCCATAGTTCATTGGGCCTCCAGGGGACACTTTTTTTTGATGCTTTCTCACTTCCCATCCCTGTGGAGATATGCTCTTAATTGGATAACTTTTTAAATGATTGAAAAACAAAAAAATGTAAGGGCTTTGGCTAAACCAAGATTTCCCCACTTTGGTACTGTTGACATTAGGGCTAAGTAATTTTTTGATGAGCAGGAGAGGAGAAGGTTTTCCTGTGCATTGTGGGATGTTTAGCAGCATCCCTGACACCTCCTCCCACCCAATTATGATAATCCAAAATGTCCCGAGACATTGCCAAATGCCACCCCTTCCTCCGCCGGGGGAGAAGAATCACCCAGGCACAGTTAGGAACCACTGATCCAAACTGTCAGTTACTTTGGTAAAGTATTAATTGTTTAGGAACTTAAATTTTTCCCCTTCAGGAAATTCACAGTGTGAAGAGTGGGAGACCATCCTGTAGAATCCATAGTGATGAACTATTAGTAGAAACATCTAATAATTTCTACAAAAGGGTTTGGAAATGTTACATGGTATGGGGTGTAGTTTAAGGAAGGCTAGTGATAAAGTCAGTGCTGTAGTCTGTCAAATGAGTTCTTTGTGTGTATGTGTGTCCATTATTAAGTTTTAAATTCTCATATATGTGGGATCTCAGCATACATATTATTTTGCAACTAGCATTTTTTACTCACTAGTAGTTTTGAGATCCCTCTAGATTGAGACCCATATAGAATTAATTCATTTATCTCAACTGAAGCGTGGTTACCTGAGATAAGCAGCCCGGGGATCTTAGTAACAACCTTTTGCTCAGTTCCTGGTATGCAACTTAGTCCCTGATATGAATCTTGCTTCATGTTAGACCATGTACCACCATGAGGCGGAATGGACTCAAAGGATCCCCTGACTCACTTCTTGGTATGCAAATATCCAATTCACTTCTTGGTCTGTAGCCACGTCCTATCTGACCATGTACAGCTGCCAGTGCAAACCCACCCGGAACCTTGTAGAAACTGAAAGTGTATATAAGCCCCTGACTTCCTACAAACAGGGCTCAGCCTTGGGATGCGAATCTGCTGAGTCAGCACCGGTACATTAAACCTGCTTCTTGTTAGCCCTGGTGTCCAAGTTTCCTTTGTGCTATGTAACACAAATGCTACATTATAATAAATACACCACAGTTTATTCATTCTCTTATTGCTGGGTGGTTGTTTCTAGGTTTTGACTATTATAAATAATGTTGCAATGAACACAGACTAGTTCTTTAAATGTATATTTCAAACCCCTTTCCAGCTGTATTTTTGCAGCCCATAGTTCTACAGATTTTTCTTTTCTTCCATGCTGGTAGGAATTGACTTGTGTGGCCATGGAAAATGAAGCAGAGTTAAGAACTCAGCCTTTCTCCAGCCAAAGCCTCTTGGAGTTAGAGCAGCACCAGACTCTCCTTGTGGAAGGCCAGAAGCAGAGGTTGCTAGTGCTGCAGCTGGTGGCTGTCCTGTGTGAGAGAATGTCTGAGCAGATATTCACAAACATCACTCAGGTTAGTGGCTGCTCCATTCCAGATCCTAGCCTGCTGGCATTTGTCTGTTTTGGTTTCTTTACATCCTTTCCCCTCCCTCTTTCCCTCTCCCCACAATGCCCAAGAAATGGTACTCAGGATGTGGTTCGTTGGCCCTATAACAGCATCAGTGTACCTGGAATTCTGATCAAGCATGTCAATGACTGAGCCACCCCAGGCCAAGAGAATCAGCACTTTCATAGATCCCGGGAATCAGCATGTTTAACAAGCTCTTGAGTGATTTTCGTGCACACGAAACTTTGAGTACTGTTTTAACTGCTTGTATGTTAGAGCACAGTGATTTTCAATTCTTGGGGCAAATAAAATCATCTGGAATATTTTTCAAAATATCAATATCTGGCCCATTTTTAGAGCTGTTGATTCAGCACATCTGGATTAGAGCCTGGGCATCTCTATTTTTTAAAACTCCATGGATGGTTCTAATGTGTATTAAAGGTTGAGAATGTAGAAACTCAAATTTGAAAAAACAATCACTAACAATAATCCTGGCTTTGAATGTTTTAGGTCCTCTAACTCACAGCTTATCGCCACAACAGCCTGTGAAATTTTAAGATGTTTTTTAAAAAAGCTTTTAGGGTAGTGTATAATTGGATAAACCATTGCCTACATTTTATTCACTCAGATGTTATTTTTATAAGCTTTTTAAAAATAGGAAATAAAAGTAATAAAGAACCAGCAGGGCAGTCTCCATATTTTACCACTTTAGCAGAATTAGCTGTTGCTTGGTTGGTGAATAGCTGGTTGTAAGATGGTCTGATTGTCATGCTTAAATCGGATTCTCCAGCTCTTTGTATTGCCCTCATTGCCGGCTGCCTTCGGGTGTTGCTAAGCAGCATTTCACTATCGCTCCTGCTGAGAAAATTTGCAGCTGCCTGTCAGCTCTGACTTATCACGCCTGTTTAATGAGAATTATGTTCATGATTTCTTTCCTGGCCTGTTTCTCCCTCAGTTCACTGACCCTTTGTTACTTAGTAGGGTGATTTGTTTTTCCCGTGTTTATATCAGTTCCCTATAAAGACTTTTTCACCCAGACCTTATGTTTTTGTCTCAGGATGCTAGTTGGAAGGGGAAATGGTCTGAACACTGATATGACTTGGGTTTTGCCACTTATCTCCTAATTGAGGAACAATGGTGGTAGACTGATATAGAAGTGATTTGTCCCATGAAATTATCCTTCAGCTGAGGTTAATTGTATCAGGACATTAAAGGCAGAAACATTGAATTTCTGTATGAGAAACATTAAATTGTGTTAGCAGTCTTATTGCTAATGATGACTTTGATACGTTATTTGAAACACACACACACGGATGTTATAAGTTGTAGTTAATTTTGTTGATATAGGAACCAAGATTTTCAGCATAAAAATTATGAATGTAAAATCTAAACATATAAAAGACCTTGAGTAAAAATAATGTAATAGCGATTTTCAGTTGGTGTATCAATATGACCTGGTTATTTTTATCTTTTTAAAAAATAGTTTGTTCCACTGTCAATGCCAAGAAGCAGTGACAACCCGGTAGCAATAAGCATTCCGAATGCCAAATTATAGTTTCTACATACCATTTCCTACTAAAAGAACAAATTGCTCATTGGAGTAGAGATAAGTTTGAGGTCTACGGCTGAATTGTGCACTGTGAGCTTCAGGGCATCTTGTGTCTGAATACCAGCAAGCTGTCTGAGGTTAGAGGCATCAGGGGCCACCCTGAAGGGACTTCCCATGGCCATGTTAGAACAATTTTACCATGAAAAAGAATAATGCCTGCAATGGACTGAAACACATCAAAGTTATTAACAAATCCAAAACCCCTCCCCTCCAAAAATCTCTTTTAGGACATCTTTGAAGGTTGCCAGGATATCAACTCATTACTTTGTGGATTAATAATAGAGGGAAAGAGTATTTAACTTGCCTTTTGGAGGGGGTAGAAATTGTATTTAATGTAACGAAATAGTCAAAGGGAACATTTTTCTTTATACAAGAATTATAGCAAAATATTCAAAAAGAGTACTAGAGGGGGCCTCCCTGGTAACACAAGGGGATAACAATGAAGCTATGGGCAGCCACTGATCAGTGGCAGCATGAGTTCGATCCCCACCAGGGAGGTAACCCACATGGCGCAGCAGACCTCTCCTGTCTCGCCTGCTGCTCCCCTCAGCAGTGTGTTTCAGTAGATCTGCCTGTTCTGTTCCCCACTGTGTCTTTGGTGAATACTCTCACCCCCTGCACCTCTGACCTGTACCCCAGTTCTTGTATGCATAAAGAAATAAATCTTTTTTAAAAAATGAGAGAGAACTAGAGGATGACATTTTGTAGTCCCCTGATGAAAGAATGGATCTAGGCAATAATCATCAGTCTCTGCTACAACCATTAGGCGTACTTTCTAGTGAAGATATTAGGTCAAATACACCCAAACCAACTAGATCTTTTTACATAGCATTTTATTTAGAAAACTCTCAAATTTGAAAGCATTTTATAGTGAAAACCTGAATATTTACCACCTAGATTCTACCACTACCATTAATGTTTTATTAGACTTCCTTTATCATTTATTTATCCATGTTTCCATCTATCTGCCTCATTTTTGGGGAGATTTCAGGTTTAATGTCAATTTAGTGCATGTCCCCCTAAATATTCAGCTTGGACTCATGAATCACAAACAGACGTCATGTGTCTGCTGCTGGAATACAGTAAGGAGCACACACTACCACCTGGGGAGGGGTCTCAGTAAAAACAAAATAAAAAAAAAATAAAACTAAAAACTGGAACCTAAATCTAATCAAGGAAACTCGAGGTAGAAGACCACATTAAATAATGCCAGGAGGAAGCAATCAGCCAAATCCAGAATGTGGGAAATTCTATAATACAAACAGCCCAGTGTTCTCATCAAATAAATGGCATTAAAAAGGTGGCAGGGCCACTAGAGCTTAAAACAGACTGATGAAACCTGTCAGCCAGAAGCATTGTGTGGATCCTGATTCAACCTTACCAATTGTATGAAGATATTTTGCAAGTCATGGACCAAATATTAGAAGATATAAGAAAATTTTTACGGGGTATTATAGTCATGTTATGGTAGTTTTGTGGGGGGATAAAGCAAAGTAAAAAACAATTCTTATTTATTAGAAATGCATAGTGAAGTATTTATGGATAAGAGATTAAAAATTCAGTCAAGTGTGCTGGCAGATGGCATATCAGTATGTGAGATACTGTAGAGAGAAAGGAGGCTTGTGATGGTATATGCATTGATACAGAGCCCTGCACCAAATCCCAAGTTCTTTAATTTCTCAAACGTGTTCCAAGGGCCTACTATGCCACATACTCTACGTACAGGGACAGAGCAGTGAATAAAAATGATGTGTATGTATGCTCTGATGGGGCTTACATTTACACAGGGAGAGAAGGGTCACAACAAGCCAGTAAAGCACATACTGTGTTAGATGGTAGTCAGTGCTGAGAAAACTCGAAGATGGAAAGGGGATGATAAGGGAATCTGATAACAAAGGGTGGTCATGGAGAACCTCATTGAAAAAATGCCTTTTGAGCAAAAATCTGGAGACAGGGAAGGAGGGAGCCATAGAGATCCTAGGGGAAGAGTGTTCCAGATGTGAGAGCATACCTGGGGTGTGGATGGATCCCCCAAGGAGGTTGGTGGAATTGGAGTGGAGTGAGCAAGATTGCCTTTTTGCTGCCCTTGCAGATCACTGTCACCTTCTGTACACTTCTGTATTAGTTCACTTTATTTTTTTTTAACTTTTTTTTTAATTTTTTTTTTATAGAGGCATGTTTTTATTTATTTATTTATTTGTTTGTTTGTTTGTTTGTTTGTTTTGTTTATACATGCACTGGGTACAGTCAGAAGCGCGGGAGGGTGAGAGAATTCACCAGAGCCAGAGTGGGGAGCAGAGCAGGCAGAAGGACCAAGGTACACTGCTGAGGGGAGCATCGGGTGGCAGGAGAGGTCTGCGCGCCATGTGGGACCCTCCTCCTGTGGCCGGGGAGCAGCCGGGGATCGAACCTGCGCTGCCGAGGCCGCAGGCAGCTTCGTAACCCAGCGCTCAACCGCTGCGCCACCGGGGAGGCCCCTGTATTAGTTCACTTTAGTTGGCAGAGTAGATGGTGGGATTTTTTCCCCCATACAGTAAAAATGGTTTAAACAAGTAACACATGCTCATTGTAAAAACATTTAAACAATATAGAAGATAACATTTAATGATGATATACTGAATACACGTGTTTATCAACTTCTGGAAATGATAGGAAGCAATAGAGCGGGAGAGGAGAGACAATAGATTAGAGAGGGTAATAGAGAGGATTTGGAAACTGGAAAATAGTAGCTGATTTAGCAAGCTTCAGAAAGTGGAAAGCAAACTGCTTGCACAGGGGAAGACAAGAAGTAAAGTACGTTACCTCTATAAAGCTGTTGACATATTTTTTTCCAAGCAAAAAAAGAAACCAAAAGAAGCAAGCTACTTCTTACGGCAGAGGCCTGGACACACTGGAGCCACTAGGTCAACTCTAAAGATGGAGCTGGGGTCCTCCCCAGTGGCACAGCGGTTGAGCACTTCGATCCCTGGCTGCCGGGCGAGGGTCCCACATGGTGCGCAGACCTCTCTTGCCGCCCGCTGCTCTCCTCAGCAGTGTGTTTCATTGGTCTGCCTGTTCTGCTCTCCGCTCTGGCTCTGGTGGCTTCTCTCACCCTCCCGCGCTTCGGACTGTACCCAGTGCATGTATAAATAAATAAATAAATCTTAAAAAAATATATTAAAGATGGAGCGGAAGTTGAGCTTAAAACAGGTGGAAAGGGGGCCTCCCTGGTGGCGCAAGGGGCTAAGACTCAGCACTATGAAGCTATCTGCAGCCACTGCAGCACGAGTTCAATTGCCAGCCAGGGAGGTGATCCACATGGTGCAGCAGACCTCTCCTGTCTTGCCTGCTGCTCCCTCAGCAGTGTATTTCAGTCAGTCTGCCTGTTCTGCTCCCCACTCTGTCTCTGGTGAATCCTCTCACTCCCCGCACCTCTGGCCTATACCCAAGTTCGTGTTCATAAATAAATCTTAAAAAAAAAAGACACATATATCTATATCTATATATCATGGGGAGGAACTTAGAGTCAGATGGCTAGATCATTCCAGTAATTTAACAATACTTGTGCTGAAATAGAAGCTTCTTATTAACAAGGAGTGCTTTAGAAACCTCTTAAAAGGTAAAAAAAAAAATAGGTGGTGCAAGGTGTCAAATTCAGTATTTTTTCTAAGAAAGGCCAGTGTCCTTAACTTATAGTATCAATACAAGTTTGTTTTTTTTTTTTTCAGTCAGGCATTTATCTTGCTTTGAATGTAGGTGTTACAATATTCTTTTTTTATTTTATATATTTTTTACATAATTTTTTATTTTTGCACAATGTATGTATCAATACAAGTCTTAGAACTGGAGAGGGGACTGAAAATTGCCATAACCAGCATTGTTATTTCAGTAAGTGGAACTTTTAATAACCTTTCCAGTTTCCGGCCTTGCTCTATAAGACAAGTGTTAACAAGCCATTTTCCTGACTTTAAGCTTTCAATAAAGATTCTAGCAGAGTATGTTATTTGCCCAGGGAGTAAAACATGCAAGTTTGCATGGTGCTGAGAGGCTTGCTATGACCTATCTCAGCCGTCCCATTTTCAAAATGATTTTTCCCTTTTGAGTCATTAATCCTAAATGTGTGTGTGTGTGTGTGTGCATGCATGTGTGTTTGCACGTATGGGTATGAGTATGCTGGTCTTTATCCTAAGGTGTTTCTATTTAAGGTGATTAATCCAAGTGCAGTTAAAATGATGCTGACCAAATTAATTCCTCTTAATGCATATTTGTTAGGCAAATGCTAAGTAAAATCTTATATATGAATAATCCTTTAAAATATTTGATACTTTAAAAAATAACTTTGGGGCCTTTCCGGTGGCGCAGTGGTTGAGCGCTGGGTTGCAAAGCTGCCCACAGCCTCTGCAGCGCTGGTTTGATCCCCGGCTGCCGGGCCCCACATGGCACTCAGAACTCTCCTGCCGCCCGCTGCTCCCCTCAGCAGTGTACTTCGTCAGTCTGCCTGTTCTGCTTCCTGCTCTGGCTCTGGTGAATTCTCTCACCCTCCCGCACTTCTGACTGTACCCAGTGCTTGTATAAGTAAATAAATAAATCTTTAAAAAAACACAAAAAACTTTGGATCATTTGTACAAATTGTTGGAGGACACAGACTTCTACATAAATCAAATGCTTCTTCCTCCTTTCTTTGCTTACTAGAATCAAACTCTAGAGGGGGGTTTCTTAAGAAGGAAGCATCATTAGAAGGAACAGATCTAGAACCCTCTAAGATTATCAGAGTGGGGCCCCTTCCTGGTGATGCGAGGGGTTAAGACGCAACCTGTGAGGCTATCAGCAGCTGCTGCAGCACGAGTTCGATCCCCGGCCAGGGAGCTATCTACACGGCACAGCAGACCTCTCCTGACTCACCTGCTGCTCCCCTCAGCAGTGTATTTCAGTCAATCTGCCTGTTCTGTTCCCCACTCTGTCTCTGGTGGGTTCTCTCACCCCCCACACCTCTGGCCTGTATCCCAGCTCTTGTATGCATAAATAAATAAATCTTTTTTTAAAAAAAAAGATTATCAAAGAGTAACATTATTTTTCATTTAATTTTCTAGTAAAGTTCTTGCAAAGTAAAGGAAGTTTTATTAGCAAAGTAAAGCATTTGGGAGAGTAAAAACAGGCTTTTTCACTTGACTGTTTGACCTTGAGCAGATAACTCTTTAAGTCTCAGATTCTTTTTTTTTGTGTGTGTGTGTGGGGGGGACCCTCGCCGGCAGCCGGGAAACAAACCGGCGCTGCAGAGGCTGGGGCAGCCTTGCAGCCCAGCGGTCAACCGCTGTGCCACCAGGGGAGGCCCTAAGTCTCAGATTCTTCATCTGAAAATAAGGATTAGAACACTGACCTCCGAGAGCTGGTAGGAGACCTCAGTGAGGTTGTGCAGGTAAAATCACCATCCTGCTCCACAGTAGCATTTATTCTTGAAAGTTCTTGGTATCACAATGTTGATGAGGAAGAAGATGTAGACGTAAGATGTAAGGAGAAATTTGAGGTTTTTTTCCCCTCACTTCTCATTGATTCTAAATTCTGTTTCTGTGGTAGGTTGTGGACTTCGTAGCTGTCACACTGCAGCGAGCTTGTGCGAGCTTGGCCCAACAGGCAGAAAGCACGGTGGACTCGCAGACCCTGAGCATGTCCATGGGGCTGGTGGCTGTCATGCTGGGAGGAGCTATCCAGGTAAGTGGCAGACCTCAGGCAAACTTGAATGTAGGGAAAAGAGAAGAGCAAGAGCTGTTGCTTCCCTCCCATGGCTTGTGAGAAATAAGAACAAGAAATAAGAATTGATATGCACACAGGAAGACTGTGAGGCACTTGGCTAATGAGAATTCCCTCTAAACTAGAGGGCAAGAAAATTGTACCAATTCTACTTTGTCACTCTTGTAGACTTGACCATCAGCAGGGCAGTGCCCTTCCCCTCCTAGGAAAGCTTGATTTAGAAAAGCCTGACAGTGCTTTGATCTGTGGGGAACACTGTATCCTCTAACCAGCACTGAAATGGCTCGCAAGAGCTCAGCTGTCGTCCCTACAACTGAAGTCAGAGGAAGGTCTGGTTGCTTAGGATTTCTCTATTTTGAACAGCTCATTTAGCACAGGATAGCACATGTGTTGTTCAACCCATATCATCCAGCATGTTAAAGCTTTCCAAAGTGTGTCATGTATCTTCTAGATACTTCATTTATAATTTTTTAGTTTATGTACTCAAAAAATATTTAATACAAAAAAAATATTTAATACACCCTTGCTGGGTGCCAGATATTGAGCTAAGGTGCTGGCAATGCAGTGTGGACAAAGCAGACATGGTTCCTACCCTCATGAAAATGGACTGAGTAAGGGACTCACATAGTAAATAACCATTAAAAATATATCCTTTAAGGGTCAGGAAAAAAGAGAAAATTTGCAAGCTGATCATGGTTCCTTGGCTTACAGCAGGGGAGGAGCAGGGAGAAAGGTAAGAACAGGGGAGGGAAGAACAAAGGGACTGTGGTGATGGGGGAGAAATCAAATACTGTACAAAAGTGAACAACGATGTAAAAAAAATAAATAAATTTTTGAGCCTCCCCTGGTGGCGCAGCTGATTGAGTGCCGCGCTGTGAAGCTGTCCGCAGCCTCTGCAGCACTGGTTTGATCCTGGCCGGCCGGTGAGGGTCCCACATGGCGCTGCAGACCTCTCCTGTCTCACCTGCTGCTCCCCTCAGCAGTGTATTTCGTCAGTCTGCCTGTTGTGTTCCCCGCTCTGTCTCTGATGAATCCTCTCACCCTCCCGTGCATCCGGTTCTTGTATAAAATAAATAAATCTTAAAAAAAAATAAATTTAATAATAAAAAAAGAACAGTAAATTAACAAGTGAAGGGAAAGTGTTCATTAGAAATGATAATACTATGTATTGCTCTAAAACTGAATATAACCATATAATATTTTTATGCTAGTTGAAAATATTATTTCTAAGCTTATTTGAATGGCCAAAATGCTTTTAGAGGATCAATTGGAATAATGATTCCAACTTGGAATTATTATTCAAATTCTAACAGAATTTAAGAATATTTGAATGTTTATGTTCATGTATAAATAAACATAAAAGCTTGAGTTTACAATGCTAAATATATCTTTTGAATTGAATGAAGTACTGCAAAAGAGAAGTAGAAGGTACCAAGAGAACATGAGATCCAACCTAGTCTGGGAAAGTTTCCAGGGAGGAAGTGTAAGTTGAAGCTAAGACTTGAAGGATGAATTGGAGGAGACTCTTCCAGTTAAAGAAAATGTCATGTACAAAGCCTGGGAAGCAGAAAGGAGCTTGATATAGAAAGTCAGTGTGGCTGAACTGGTAGAGCCTAAGGGTCAGAATAGTGCCAGGCAAGATGGACCATCAGGCAGGGATATGTTTATGTATGCCAGCCCAGTTAATTACACTCAATTAGAAGACTACAATAAAGCAGAAGAGGCCTCACGTGAGTGTTATGAAATCTGACCTGAAATCAAAATGGTCGTAACTCTTAGCCTTCTGGGAGTAGGATTTTCAGTTTGAGGATTCGAATCTGATACTGATTCTTGGTATTTTATTGATAAAATTTTCCTTTCTCTAGCCTGTCCTCAAGGGGAAAAGGAATTTTGTCTGGGACCTAACTTTGTATTTTTCCTGTATTTTGGGGGAAAAAAGTTTTTGTCTCATTTCTAGAGTTGTATTATATTTGGCTGTTAGAACTGTCAAGAAGTGATTCACCGATGGCATCATTTTTCTCAAGTTGTGTTTTACTGGATTTAGTTGGCCTGCTTGGTTTTTATTTTTCAGGTTGAGTATTAATTTGAATAGCCTGTGCTGTTGTAAGTGGAGAATGAGTATGTGTGTTTTTTGCTTTTCTTTTTTCTTAATACTTATAATTTCCAACCTCATCCTAAGCGCAAAATAGAGCACAGTATCTTAGTTTCCCTTTCTAGAAGCCCATTATGTATGAATTAATCATCCTCTAAGAGAAACTCAATTACCTGATGTAAATGAGCAGCCTGCTCCTGTCCCTGCCCTTATGTGAGCCATCCTGACTCACCCTTACATCCTGGATTCCTCTGACTTTGCAAGTTAGTTAAGTGGGCATAAGCACGTCACACTTATACTTTTGCCCTAGATCTATTAAATTTTTTTCCTGTTTGATTCATGCATTGATTAGTGACTTCTATAATAGTATTGGTTTTTCTGTCTTTCTATTAAGGGGACAAAGTCCTGATTCTGAGTGATGTTTTCAGGTGATCATTATCAAGGAAGGTTTTCTGCTTCAGAGTCTACTTCAGAGACTAGAAGATTATACGATAAGATTATATCCCATTAGGACTCATCTTTTGACTAATGAAACAATACCAAACGGCCTTTGAACAATTTTTTTTCTTTTCCTTCCTAATTTATGAAATCAAAGTGATCATTAAATTAATTTGGAGAAAGTAAAGATTTAAGACTAGTAACAACTTAACTGTAATTCCAAACTCACTTTCTAAGTTTCAGGTTTGGTCACCATAAAAGTAGGCTATATCGGGCCTGCCCGGTGGCGCAATGGTTGAGCGCTGGGTTGCAAAGCTGCCGGCAGCCTCTGCGGCGCCGGTTCGATCCCCGGCTGCTCCCCGGCCACCGGAGGAGGATCCCACATGGCGCGCAGACCTCTCCTGCTGCCCGCTGCTCCCCTCAGCAGTGTACTTCGGTCCTTCTGCCTGCTCTGCTCCCTGCTCTGGCTCTGGTGAATTCTCTCACCCTCCCGTGCTTCTGACTGTACCCAGTGCATGTATAAACAAAACAAACAAACAAACAAACAAATAAATAAATTAAACATGCCTCTATTAAAAAAAAATAAAGAGAAAAAAAAAAAGTATGCTATATCTAATGTGTAGCATAACTTGTCTGGCCTTTAGGAAGCTGTTCCTGCAGAACATTCCAAAGTCTGTTAGAACCTTGAAAGCTGATCTGAGCTTTTTAAGGCTAAGGGTGGTGGGGCTGGGACTTGAACCCAGATCTTCAGGTCCAATATCCAGTGCTTGCCACGCTCATCCCATACCATTGTCTGAGAATACTGCAGAATAAACTCAGTCAGTATTTATCTTAGCGCTTTGCCCTCATGGAGCTTACCTTTAGTGAAGATGATTAATCTGATGGATTCTTAATTCTTTTTTTTTTTTTAAGATTTATTTATGTATACAAAAGCTGGGGTATAGGCCAGAGGTATGTGTGGGGGAATTGGAGGATTCAACAGAGTGGGGAACAGAACAGGTGGATTGACTGAAATACACTGCTGAGGGGAGCAGTGAGTGAGACAGAAGAAGTCTGCTGCACCACGTGGGTTTGCTCCCTGGCTGGCGGGGATGGGGATCGAACTTGTGCTGTGCTGCAGTGGCTGTGGAGAGCTTCATAGTGCTGCAACTTAACCCCTTGCCCCACCAGGGAGGCCCCTGCTGGATTCTTAATTCTTTTGTAAAAAGAGATTCATATTGCTATATCTAAGGTGTAGCTCATAAAAATGGCGTGTTGACTGAGAACACAAACAAAAACACCACTTGTAATAAATTCAAACTGCTCATTTAAATATCTGAAGAAACAGTTGATATACAGAAATGAGAACATAATGAATATTTTTCAGAATTAAGAAATTTTAGGTGAGAATTTTATTGCTGGAAGAAACCCTCAGATTCTTCCAAAACAGTGACTTTTGCTGGAGCAGGATGAGGTAAGGCAGAATGAGGGTTTATATGCCTCTCAGGGGCTGTCACTCCGTTGTAATACTTCCCTTAGAACCTGTGCACTCTCCTACCACCCACTGCCTTCAATCCTGACCCTACCAGATCACCTCCCAGTTCTTAAATTTGAAAACGTTTCAACATTTAGAACCACTCACCATCTAATTTGTTTTTTCCTGCCCCCCTGAAAGAAATCAGTTGTGAGTTGACTTGACTTTGCCCATCCCACTCCTAAAGCATTCCAGAAACTTGACAGAGAGGCAGGCAGATGAGGAATCTGTCACTCACCTGTGGTGTGCTCCTGCAGGCCTCAGAGCTGACACAGAATTCTGCACTCTGAACAGAACATCTGTGCTGAAAAGCAGTGACAGAGTGAAAGGGGGACTCTTTGGCAAAGTCTCAATTTTGATAGTGACCTTCTGTGACCCTCGAAAAATAATTAAGTGCTTCAATCTCTCATTCACCAATTAAGTGAATATTGCTTTACACTTCAAAACTTTTGTGAATGTTTCTGAACAAATAGTTATCACCTGTAGTCTTAGATTTCCCTGCTCATTCTCATAGTGGTAAATCTGAGGCTTATGAAGCTGAAAGTATATATAACTTTAATTGCCTTATAAGCTACTGGATTCAGAATACATCTACCTACCCATGATGATTAGCGAAGTTACCCAGTTGAATAAGATGAATCCAATAATGACTAAGAAGTTTGAAAATAGGAAGAAAAGATGGTTGTTCTTTTTTAAGTAGACTATTTTTAGAGTCACTTTAGGTGCACAGCAAGAGTGAGCAGGAGGTACAGAGAAATCACATGAATCTCTTGTTTCCCCCCTGCCCCCCACATACAACACACTTCCTGGCCCCTTCCCACCGTGAACCTTCTACACTAGATTGGTACATTTACTAAAATCAGTGAACCTACTCTGACACATAGTCGTTAGTCAAAGTCCATAGTTTTCTTAGTGTTG